GAAGCAAAAGGAGCAATTGCAAAGAGTCCTGTAAAAAATGAACATTTTTAAGAATGAAAGAAATGAGTGACAATTAAACATTCTCCCATCGAATGCCACCTGATCTGATATTCTTGCACTTTTCACCACCTTGATCTCACTTTGAACCAAAGTTTTATTGTTACAACGAAGTGTAATAAATAAATTTTTGCTCATTTAACTTTATTTGAGAACCCATCTTCCCATTTCTTGTCTAATTTATTAGGTTCACAAATCAGTCCTTTGTAAATGCACTTGTAAAAGCAATATGTCCGAACTGGCCCTGATGGATGACGAACAGGCAGTGTGGTTCAGAAGGAGAAGAGGAGGGAGAGCCGATCGCTGATTTACCATGAAGCACCATCTCCAGGAGCTGTTTTGTTTTGCTTCCTGTGCCCCCAGCAAAAGGCCTCGAAATAGTGTCCAGTAAAAAGCGGGAGCAAATCAGCCTTGTTAAATGTTACACGCAAAAAAATGTACGATAGCTCGGATTGACCCCAAGACTAAAATAATGAAATGCCACTTTGAATGAGTTGCTGCTGCTACTGCTGCTTCTTCTCCCTTAACTTAATCAACTGATTTTAGTTTTTGTCAAACGCTGTATTTTGTAAGGTTCAGATTGAAGTGCAAGTCAGCGAAGATTCTTCATTCAATAATGTGTCGAATGGAAGGTTCGTAATTTTCGAAGTCTTAGTTTCAGAAGAACGTAATATTCAGTCTTAAATGGAGCTAAACAAATGACATCTTGAAAAAGGAAACCAAATATGGAATAATTTAATGATGATCGCCAATCACTGAGTAAACCAAGGAAAATGGCACAGGCTTGTGGTCGGGTAGTTGAGCGGCACTTTGAAGTCTATTTAATTACTTATCGTACAATTTCTCTCAGGTTGTTGTGATAAAGTTGCCGCAAATTAAACAGCCTTCTCCGCCTCTTTTATGCGTATGACATGCATTGTGGTTATGAACTAAACAGTTCTTTTGTTCTGTGATAAACAGGTCATTAAGCTTCCCCTATGGTTGCTCTTTTACAGCTGATAATTTGACCGGAGGTGTCTTATGGCTATGAAATGAAAAGGTGCTAACGATAGATTTTTTTTTAATATTTCCTCCACAGAACCCAAGACGGAAAGATTATGTGTCCACTGGAGCTCCACAAAACTCAATTAAATAAATTTCGCGGTTCTCCGGCTTGAGTTTCACTTGAAACATTGTTAACATGACACTTAAAAAACAAAGACATTTTCCATTACCTTCTCTTTTAGCACTCATAAAACTCAGCATATGCTCTTAATTGTGATCAGCAAATTTCAACGAAATTGCCAAAAGGGTAATAACATGACCGATTTCATAAATCTCTTACTGACTTTAGGTCAGTGCCAACGTTGGGCCTCGAGCTTTCCCTTCCTCATTGTCCCTCCTGTCAAAACAATCGATATTGATGAGTCACCCACAGAGACGAGAGCACAACAAAGATTGCATCTCGTCTCCGGAGAAAGTAATACAATTTTGAACCGAGAACCAACAGCCGTAGACAGGAAAGAGTCGAAAGATAAAGCACTAAACCCCCTACCGTGGCATTCAGCTAGATGGCATTCCAGATGCTTGCATTAACACTAATGGCTCTGGCCAGTGCGGACCGTCTAAGTCGCGTATAATACACGTGCGTCAGCGTCTGAACTACCTCGGGAAACGGCAATCAACTGGGCTGGCAGAAGGAAAGGATGACATATCACAGTCACCTTCCTTTGATGTCCGTCGGTTAGTCATTAATCCGCCTACGTTGTGAGAAATAACATCTTTTGAATGCTGCTGACAACAACATCAACAACCTTGAAAGTTGGTTGTGCTCTGTCACCTCCATTAGCAGTGACAGTTTGAGCGGAAATGAGAAAACGACATTGACAGTTCTTAGAGTAGTACCTTAACCTGCGTGTTTGAGAAAGCCTTAATCGTCGCGGTCTTCTCAACACTTGGAACTTAGTAGGTTCCTTTCACAATGCTAATCTCCAAGTCATGCTGGACGTAAATGCTGACAGACTCATACCAGCTACTACATCCTATCCCAGTCTTCTGTACAGTTCGGAATGCTGAGTCTCACACCGGCAACTGGAAATCCCAATCGGGCACGGTTGGCTTAAATAATGATTCGCTTTCCTTACAATAAATCTTTAGTATTTTGATTTAAAGCTTTTAATACTCTCTTAACACTCACATAGGCGGCGTGTATCATGTTTTACCAGATGAGTTGGCAAACATAAATGAAGACGTCTTAAAGACTTCTCCATGAGTAGAAGGCTCGAGTGTTTTAGAGAAGACCAAACAGTCTTTTTATGAAGCTGGAAGTGCTTCTTACTAACCTTCACCAATGAGGTCATTATCGTCAAGAAGTTCTGAACAATCAGCAGAATAATCAGCACTTTTTATCCACACAAAGACGAAACGTTTTCTTTTACTGAAAGAGGACGATTGCTAATGGAACTGCCAGGATTTACTGGACGAATTCTCACGTAAACACATCCCAAGACGGTTTAATGATACCGCTATTAGCGACCATGCGTGTTATGCACTTCGACCAGACCGTTCCAAATATCTGACATCAACAAGCATTCTGCTTTGTGAGGTCGTATGCTGGTAAGCCTTATCTTCTACTCCTGAGGTGCAAATCATATGGAAAAGGGTTAGCATTTGCAATGGATCTTCCCCACCTGGGTAAAGACAACCGAAATTTGTAAGGAGAGTACCACTACTTCAGCAACGAAGTTGTCCACTCGTTTGAACCATGCACAAAGCATCCAAACACCACTCTGGCCATCCAGTTTGTACGAAGGAAGCTGAAAATCACCCTTGCCAATTATGGCTTGGTTTATAAAATGAGATTTATGCAAAAGTTGACCACCTAGTGACCAGTCAGCATGTTGGCATTTTATTGGCTTGTAGTATTTCAAATTTTTCATCTTCACCATTGCAATCTCAGCTTTGATCACTCATCTCCCACCCGTCAAAGAAGAAAAAAGGGATGTTTCAAAGACTCGACAAGCAAATACCATAAGAACGCCTTCACGCTGGCCTTGATTATTTGTGTATTTGTGTGTGTCAGTCTCTGCGGCTATAAGTGACTGCCTTAGAGTGCCTGCCCAAGCCGCGCTCCGTGCAATGTGTTCCCGCGCAGTGCAGACATTTCGTGCTGCCTCGATAGCCACAGCAGATTCCATTTTTTCTGATCCCTCTTTGGGTGCTGTTACCTCATGGAATGTAAATTTATCACGGTTTCCGATGAAAGAAAGGAAAGGGCGAACGAAGAAATGTGGCAACCTGTGTTTCTTAAGGCTACGGCGCTGCTGTGATGTTAACGTCTCGGTGGTGCAAAACGTGTAGCACCAGCATTCTTTACATCTCGTCAATTTTAGAGAATTGTCAACAGTTCTGCTCATAAGTTCTCCAGACACACTACCTTTGAGTCTTCAGTGTTGGACTACCATTCGCGAAGGAAAATGCTACCGTTGAGGAAACTTCATTGCTCCTCTTTCCTAGTCCATAACTAATTTAGCAAAGACAAAGTAAAGTTTATCAAAAAAATGCTTTTTTCTGAAAATATCAAGTAAATTTTCTAACTCAGCATCGACAATAGCTGGAAGGTGGCTAATGTTTTGAAGTACAAATTCCAATATTGGAGGTGTGGCATGGATCTGGTCTGCAAGAACTTCAAAACATGTTAAGCTATTTACTTTTCAACTAGAATTGACATGAAACGCTCTGAAAGATTAGATCTACGACATTTGAGTAAGGCAAAGTTTGTTCTGCAAAGACCCTTGGAAATGCGAAAAACGCCATTGTCACCTGCTCAGAAATTGCCAGGACTCGACAAAGCTTTACAAATAGGTATTCACAAAATAACAACAACAATTCTTATTGCCAAAACCATTTAAGCAGCACAATGACTGACTCACATTTAACAAGTTACATTAAATTTTATTGTCTATAAATTTGGGCTGCCATACCGGTAGATAATCGGTCATTAAACCGTCAATTTTGTTGTGACTTTTGCTGACCATAAACACGTTTTAAATGGTTTTGAAAGGTTATGTTGGGGCCCATCAGCAGGACTATTCCTCCTCCCCTTGATATAAAATAAACCTCTAATTACATATCATTCTTTCCGGCATTCATTTGAGGGCAAACAGAACCTCTGGAGATCAGACCTTCAATCTTTTGAGCGTTCATTTCCCCATTCCCTTAAACTAGCTGCATTTATGGAGCGCGGTTCTAACAGATATTTTGGTGAATGTCTCATCCATAAACACTGTCGCGCAGTGGTCCCCACCATGATCGGTGGAATCACCGAATTTTTAATTGCCTTTAAGCTGCGCAGATCCTCCAAACCAAACCCTCAGCTGTTTGAAACCGCTGGCCTTAAGGCAGTAGAGCCTCTAAGTCTGCGGGACGGTTTCCTGCCGAAAGCCCGCAGGAAGAGCCACCGTGGAGACAATTCTCATCCAGAAGGCCTTTAAGCATCAAAGCTTTATAACCTCCAAAATTAAAGCCGAGAGCAAGGAGAGGACCTCAAGTCAAAATCAAGAGTCTGTAGATGTAGTGCAACCAAACTCGAACGCGGTTGCATATGTGCATATGCATATTGATACATAAACTCAGAAAAAAAGACCAAGAGCAATTGCAGTTTCGTTTTGTGTACAATAAGAGTTGGGAGGAAAAGAGAGGGAAGCCGTTGTAAGTTTCGATGGAACTGGTAGTGACGCTGATGATGATGGTGATTTTGGCAGCAGTATTGATTGCGCTAGCTCTGCTTTCAACTCCGGAAAAACACGAAAACATATATCTGCAAATTGGACGCTTTACACAAGATTAATTTCAATCCTCAAATGCAAAAGAGCAGCACAGGTTCGCAGACTTTCACCCGTACTAGTGAACAGGAGGGTGGGAAGGTGAGAAAGGTGTTAGGACTACATATGTAGAAATTCACCCTAAAGAACTCCAAACGCTGTCATTGCCTCCATTTCCTCGCCTTTTGGCTCAGAATTTCGACGACCACTTCTGGAAGTACACCGTTCCGAACTTCCTTCACGACCCTCTACATCTGATGTCGTCGCCACTTTTCCATTTCGTATTCTTTCCAGCAGATCCTGCTTCTCTGAGACCTCACCTATCGTTGTCAGGGGTTCCATGCTCCTAGAACCTCCACCATTTCCAACGTTAGCTTCTGCGTCACCCGCCGTCTTTTGCGTAGCACGTCTGGACCATGCACGGTAGCACATAATGACTGTGAGTGCCGCTAGAAGGAAGGTAATGCAGACCGCCACGATTATGAGGAGGTAGATCCTAGAACCCTCCTCTAGGGCATAAGACCCATCACTCCCACCCGGAACTCTAGAAAGCCCAGGAACTCCCAGTTTTGATAATTGCCATGAAGACAACTCGTCGGGCACAAGCCAAGGGCACTCAGAGTTCAGAGAGGTTTCAATGTCCTTGTCAGTATACTTTGAACCCTTATAAAGACTTGACGCTAAAATCTTAGCACGGAAGAGATGACCCTCAGGGCCGCAGAGAGCTGCTGCATCTGGACGACCTTCAACAACGCCAGAATGATTCAGTCCCTGAATTATGCTACCATTTCCAACCAAAGCAAATGGATTATCTGGCCATCCATCAGTAACAGCCCAAGAAGGAATTTTGGCTCCTTTTGGTGCTATGATGAGTTTCACTGGTCCATTAAAACTACAGAACGCATCTGGTTCAATGCGTTTGATTGGATTAGAGGAAATGTTGACAAGCAGTCTGGGAAATTCTGGAGTCGGTTGGGAGGAAGCAAGCATTGAAAAAGAACGTCGGGTAAGGTGAGTCAGACCATTCTGAGAAAGATTCAAGGAACGCAATTTGGGGTAGCGTTCTTCTGAGTTGTCTGGAATGCAAACCATTCCATTCGCTGATAAATCAAGCTCCTCCAACTGTGGTAAAGAGGTGAAGCAGCCCTTTGGAAGAACTGTTAGACGATTACCACGAAGAGACAGCTTCTTGAGATTCGTCAAACCGGTGAATGATTCTGCTGTCAGGTTAGTGATCTTCAATTCTATCATTGAAAGCTCCTCCAATCTGGACATCTTTGCGAATAATGCGTTCGGAAAAGTGTTGAATCCACCAAAAGTAGCAGAATCATCGTGACTCATCAAAAGGTGAATCAAACTACTCGCAAAAGGACTAAAAAGGCGAGATGATAGTCGCTGAAGCGGATTCCCACGAAGGTCCAACTTTTGAAGATTACTCAAGCCAACAAAAGTTGTATCTTCCAGAACGGTAAGAATATTACCTTCGAGGGAGAGTTCCTTGAGATGTTCACAACAACCAGACGAAAAGACGCCCTCTTCGATATAACCTATCTTATTTCGTCCAAGGATTAAACGCTGAAGTTTCTGCAAGCCTGCAAAGACGCCTTTCGTCAGAGAGTGCACCAAATTATCAGTAGCGACAAGTTCAACCAATGTGTTCCCAATATTTTGGAAGGATCCATCACGGTAGGACTTGAGATATGAGTTATTGGATAAGTCAAGTAATTTAAGGGTGGGAAGACCTTGGAATAGGTTAGATGAAAGGTTCTGGATCCCAGTTTGGTGTAGTTCTAGGACTTCCAGATGCTGTAGACCATTACACCTACTCTCTCTTAGGGAAGAAAATCCTTGTGGAAGGTTGGTGAGGTTAGGAACTTCTTGAAGGACCAGTTTGGTAAAAATGACATCTTTAGTACAAACATCTTCAGTCAGAAGTCCATTAAGATCGCTGACATCGTTTCCAGAACAGGAGCATGCTTTAGAGGTGCAGGAGCATCCAGCTTCAACGGAACTACTCGCAAATGAGAGAATGAGGAGGAAGAAGAATCCTGCACAGCGGGCCCACTGTTGCATAGCCAGCAAACAAGGGATTGTGAGGCGACAAATTTGTAACAGCTGCTGACGATACGGTTGCACTCGGCCTCGTGCTTATTGGTCGATGAATTTTATTGGTTTAATGTTGACCAATAGCAACCCTGTGCGCGTGAGTCATTCCACGTGCGCAGTGCATGTTAAGGGATCTCGCAAAACCAACGCCATATAGGTGAAACAGAAGTCCATTAGCTAAAAACACGTTTCAGGGCATCGCAACAAATTTATTAACATCATTCCTCCACAAACTGCAGAACTTCAATTTATTAAAGTGATGGGTAATTGTAAGCCAATTAATTAACTTTATCAGTAAGGATTTCTAAAAAAGGCACAGGTGCAACGCCATAAACAATTTTTGGTACTTCGGCAAATAACAAAAAAGCAAAAACTGAGGAATACTGGCAGTAAATGGATAAGAAGGTGACCTAAATATAGTAAAGGGGAAATAAACAACATTTATTGATGTCTGTGCTAAAGTCTAAAATTTAAATAACATTGAAAAACCAACTCAATCGCAAGGAGGTTAATAGACATCACATGAAAAAAGGATCTAAGCCAAGGTAAGAGAAGTTTATTAAACAATACATGGTTAAAGAAGCAAGTAAGAACAGGCAAGCAACAAAACTGATAGCTATGATGGGGATGAGGTTCGCCCGTAGAGGTTAA